AAAAAGAAAAGAAAATTGAATGTATGTCAAGAAACTTTCATCTTCTTCTCTTTCTCCATATTCTTTCCACGTAAAAAATGTCGAGATTCGAGGACATGCATTCGGGAATAGAGCTCGGTTGGTTCCATGAAGGTGGGAGATCCTTGTCTCTGTATGTCTATGAAGAAAGAAATGGGTATATATATCTTTATTTTTATTGAACAACACATATTTAAGGGTCTTTCAAACAAAACAAACAAAAAGTAAAAGAAGAGGAGGATGATAGTACTTACACAATAACTGACATAAATAATAATAAAATATTTTAATAGAATCATGATTAGGAATATTTTTACATTTTAAAATGAATACAATCAATATAAAAAACTTTTTTTTTCCAACTATCAAAATAAAATCGACGATACAGAAGCGCTTGATAAGAAAAAGAGGTATCGGAGTTTAACCCGGTTCACGGTCCTGTTATTGGGTCTTCGTTTCGATTTGAGTTTGTAATGAGAAGAAAAGTCCCAAGTATAAAACAATGACGATTTTATCCTTGTGGAAATGCGTCTCTGTGTATCTCAGCTAAGTTCTTCATAAGGTTGAGTCATTAGTTCAACAATTACATTAACTTAGCCTTAATGACTCGCAATGTTTCTATTTATAGCACAATGTTTGTACAAATCACCAAATCAAATCCAAATCGGTTAACAAAAAATCAACCAACTAACAAAAAAACTAACTTGATACGAGGAAGAATGACAATTGACGGAGAAGGACAATCATCGAAGGAGTATTTCTCTCAATTTTGAATCTGCTTGCCTTCTAGGCAAAACTTTACACTCTTCTTAATGGAAAGAGGAGAGGACGAAAAATAAATGACTCAAGTGAGGGGTATAAACATTAAACATTCCTCTTTCTCGTTCTGGAAAACATTTCGAATTTCCAAATCACGTGTGCGTGAAAATCGTATTCCCTTACAAACCCTCTTGATTCAGCATGTTTCGATGATCGGTGAATAGTCAATCTATATTGACAACAACTTCAGATAATCAAACACAAACTCCATTTATTAAAAAATCAAACACATGAAAAAACTTCCATTTGTTTTAGCGTCCAAAAATTCGATTGATTATATAAGAACTCATGTGTACGAATTTCAGTTGAAACAATCGAGGTCATTTCAAATTTTTATTTCCGAATTTTATATATATATAACAAAAAAATTTACAATTTCCTTTAAAAACTCTCAAAAGTTCAAAACCAATTGTAATTATTTACAAAACTCATACAGCAGTACCGTTACTAGTAAGCAAAGAGATTTAACGGTTCCACGAAGGTGGGAGATCCTTGTCTCTAAATTTCTATGAAGAAAGGAGCGGGTATACATATATCAAACACATTAATTTTAAGGGTCTTTCAAACAAATAAAAAGGTAAAAGAAGAGGAGGAAGATAGTATACTTACACATTCAACACAATCAACCTCAAGCTCTTTCACTTTGGGAGAGCTTCTAGGCAAAGCCATAAGGTTTTCAATCCAGTCTGAATTTTCTGGACCTATTATTAACTTCTTAAGGCGAGAGAAGTAGATGGCGCTACAACACACAAGCTGCCATGAAACAAAGTTAAGAGACAGGACCGAAGAGATTGATTTTAATAATCTCTCATCAGGATAAGACTTAGTAGTATCTATATATGCATGATCAAGACAAGGCGTCCTCTTGATTAAGCAACAATCTCGTGAAAAATCAACGATACGGAAATTCTCTTAACGCCGGAGTATCAATAACCAAGCACCTACCAGTGTCTTCTACATCATTGTAATAGAAAAAGCACCGCAAAGAAGGAACTTTCACTGTAAACCTTTTCACATTGTCATCCTTTTCCCGTATCACGAATATGTTCTTGAGAACAGGGCAGCTCGATAGAAACCTAAGGAGAGAATCCTCGTCTTTATACACCACAAAGAAAAGCTCGAGAGTTCTCAGGGATTGGAGGCAACCAGAAGAAGAAGGGAAATCAATCAATTAATGTAGGTATAAGAACTGATTAATGGTCTTGGGTTTCCTCTGAGATTGCATGAAGAGCCATGACACTTGAAGTTCTTTGCAGTGGAGTTGCTGGAAACTACAGTGGTGCTTTGCAAGTGATATGCATTTCAACGGTGCTTTGATTACTTGCTTCTCAAGAAACTACACACTGATTTTTTTTTTTCTTTCCCGCTATGTGAAGATGATAGTTGAGAAGTTCCGTCACCGCTAGTTCCGACTCGTGAGAACTACTTTGTGAAATACTGCAGCGTAGCGATGGTTCTTGGGCTATACAGGTTGTTTGATTCAAGAATTGCCTAATGACGTTATTCTAATATAGTTGTACGATGTTAATGGGTGGTTTAAATAAAGTAGTTGCGAAGTTTCGGTAGAAATTTGAAATTTATTGAACTTATGGGGTGATTATTTTTGTGTTGTAGGCAGAGGTCACTCATGAATAGGGCATGGGTCATATTGCATGTTAAATAACTAATAATCCCTTTTTGTGTTAGTCTTCAATGTTTCTCATTCGGTTGGTGTTTTTAGATTTTTCTCATTGCCTCTAACAAAGCATTGAAAGACGTTTGTAGGATTCAGTTCTATGAAGAAAATTGAAGGCATCTACACAGAGGTATAATTTAAATTTGTTTAGAAGGCATTATTTTGGTTTAATATGCTTTTGTGAATCAAACTTTTGATTTGGGGTGAAAATGTGTTACAATTTTAGATGACTAGTGATAATCCAGAGAAGTGTTAGGTAACCAAGGAAAATAGAAAGCAAGCATAAATGTTACCATCGAAAAAGGTTTTCTTTCTATAAAGAAAATCTGGAAAATGGTTAGTATAGAAAAAATGTTGTTTTCTATTATTTTTATGGGAACACATTGTAAAGGATCAAATCATCATTGTTTTTAAGTTTCTCTTCTTTCTTCGTTTCTCGCTGTTCTTCTCTCTTCTTTAACGAATTTGTAAAAACAATTTACTAATGTTTTATTTTTTCTTTCTCAAAAGCCAACTGAAGTCAAAACAAATGGAAGGGGCTTACTAAGAAGGAAAATGTCCCTTCGGTTCTCCAAGGAGCTTTTCACATCATTTGTTCCTGTTTCCAAATTGTCCAAGAATGATTCCGCATCGATCTTCAAGTTAGTCCACGACTTATTATCTATTGTTGTAAGCTGAAATTAGAAAGGACAAACCAGAGAATCCAATTAGTTTCTTCAATCAATATGTTTCTCATATCCACTCAAATCAATCCAACCAAAAAAACTAACGAGATCAAAAGGATTCTTCATTCATTTATGTTTTATTGTATATATCACAAGATGAGAGATCGGTTCACGATTGAGAAAGAATGAGGCTTAAAATTTTCGTATTTAATATTAAGACAGTTCAACAATTAAAAAAAAAAAAATAACAGATCGGTTGAGTGAATGTCTTGGGGTAACTTAGCCTTAATGACTCGCAATGTTTCTATTTAAATTTATAGCACAATGTTTGTACGAATTAGTTTAGTGGACTTTACTTGATTTGGTTCGTTAAGGAGTGCTAAGCCCACATCTAACATCAATCTAACTAAAACTTGCCCGGAAGATATTTGTTAGAGGACACATGTATGAGTTTTCACCAGTCCGAAATAGACTTCCATTGATGTGGATTTTGATTTGATCACCTCAAATCGAAATAAAACATTAGGCGATCGAATTCTATTCTCAGCACAACCTAATTATCACGAGTTTTAAAATCGAAATTAATCAGATCAAATCAATCTAACGGAGATCCATACAATTTATAGTCAGTAACATACACACAAATCAAATTTGTTTCCGATAATCTTAGCCAGCACGGAACTCATCCTTTCTATGCTCCGCAAATCTCACGATAAGATCCTCAATTTCACTCTCCACATCGCTCCACAAGAATTTATGAACATCTCTCGACCTATCCCAAGGCTTCGTCTCCTCCATTATTCTTCACCTGAAAGTACCAACTCAAAATCATGATCGTTTTCTTTAAGCAATTGAAAACGGAAAAACTAGGAGAATTAAGAATCCAATTAGTTTATCATTATCTAAAAGTTCTTTACGTTTTTTTTGTATATATATCACAGTTTATATAGTTTTTTATATAATAAAGTTGGATGCCGTCGTTATTAATTTTAAATATATTAAATCATGACATGTGTCAAAGAAAATAATAAATTTGTTAATTAAATAAAATGGATATTTTTTAGCAAAAGGGAAGCAAAAATAAAATAAAAGGTAAATCCTCATGGAAAATAAAAATCAGAAGAAAAATTAATGAACATGACTCCAGGAGAAGAAAAAAGGTAACCAAATATTTTTTTAAAAAGTAAAAATGAAATATGTGATTTGTTTGGAAATAAAAAATAAGAAGATAATAACAAAAAAGAAAAGAAAAATAAAAGGTTAATCCTTATAAAAAAAGGTAAAATAAGGTTAATCCTTATAAATAAAAGGTTAATCCTTGGAGAATCCATCATGACACTCCTCTCGTTTCATTCATAATCTATAGTAGTTTGAACAGTTTTTTCTGGGAAATATAAAGTTCGCATTATAGGTCCCTGTGATAAGAACAAAGTATAAACAAGCAAACAGAGGAATCGAAATAGTTCAGTTTGAATTTCGAATTAAGTGCGATAATGATGATTCACGAGATAAATATTCACCAAGGAAACAGTTAGTTACTGAGAGAATCATCACGAGCATCTAGAAATCAAAAACCGACTTACGATTGAAGTAGAACGAGAATCAAAATCGGTAACGTACCAAACAAGCGATCCAGTCACGAAACAATGTTTCGGTAACCAATGTTTACAATGCTGGTGGGAGGCTACTTTGCCTATTATTACTATTAAAACACACACACAAAAACCAGATTACAATATAAACTCTAAGAAACGAGACATTTTTTGTAAAAAGAGATATGACACTATGATAGATCTTTCATTCTAATTCTCTTTTCAGTTTGTCTACTTGCTGTTGTTGTAGAATCTGAGAACGAAAGCAACGCCGAGAATCAAGAGAGGGATCAAGTATACAATCATCTTGTTTCCAGATTCTTCTTTCGTGGTTTCCGCCGTAGATTCCTTCTCCCACGGCGGAATATACTTCGCCGTCACCGGAACCGTTGACTGGTCAATATCACCGATACAATATTTCTTCATTATCTCTTGCGCTTCGTTGCTATGCTTCACATCGTCGAAATCGATCGATGCGTCCTTCCCTTTAACATTTTCATATAATTTCACAAAGTTTAATTAAACCGATCGGTAAAATTAAAAAAAAATGACACCAAACCGGATTAAACCAACTTGTTATCGTACGTACCGGTGACGGCGAGGAGAACGTTGTCACCGCCGGGATGTTCGTCCATGAAAGTGCTGATGTCATAGACCTGAGGAATCACTTGTCTTAGAACACATAGTAGACAGCTAAACATAACAGAGCGTTTGAAATCTTTGGTTTTGTTTGCGTGTTTCAAAAGAAAGGAAAAAACTAAAAAGTTAAACAAGAAGAGACCTTTCCATGGATGAGAATCCAACAATCGTTCTTGCACTTATGTTTGGCAACATCATGAAACGAAATTAGTTCCGCCATTAGTCAACTTTCTGTTGCTCTTGCAGATCAGTATTAACCTGAAACAGAGGAGAGGTCATTTGTTTAGAGTTTCATTAGATTGAAGCAAAATCCAATGAGCAAGATTGTGAGAGAGGAAGAGATTCTACGAACCGACAAAAAATAGAGCGCAACTTCCCGAGACCGGTCGAGCTAAGACCACACGCCTTCTGTTTATATCGTAAGCTTTGAAACTCTTGAATATTAATAAAATTATTACTGTCGTAATTTATTTTATTTTTATTATTATTATTTTTTTTGTTGGTCGAAGAAGGAAGCAATTCAAATTTGACTAGTTTGTCAATAAGTATTAATGAAAGGTTAAAACATGGTACCTACCATAGTGAAACGTGGAGAATATGATGTTTGTGGTCTAATGGTAGCTGAGACGCCTCCAAGTGGTCAGCAACCTCAGGTTGGTGAGGTTTTTCACGTTTTTTATAATTCTCTTCTTTGAAAAATAATAACAAAAAAGTAAAGTGTCATTTTTTCAGAAAGCCTCAAATCACTTTTTCTCATCGGCCCAAATAACACAAAAGGGGGGCTATTCTTATTAGAAAGCTAACGTTCCAATAATCTCGAATTTGCTAATGAAAAGAAAAGTCTCAATATGTATGTTATTGATCAAATAGAACTCGCTAATCAGAATAAATAAAAGAACATGCAGAACTAATAACTTCGCAATGGAAATTTCATCATTACATCGGAAACCAAAAAGGGTTTTGCCGTTTTGGGTAACGATTTTATTAATACGCAGAAACTTTTAGAACAAAGCATTGATATAGATATATATATGTTCAAATAAGAAACCCATATCAATTAAAATTGCATAAAACAGGAAAAAATAATAATGGTTTGTAATGAGAAATGCAACACCTTTAACAAACAAACAAAAAAGATAAGAAAGCAATACATCTTAACAATCTTAACGATACCAACACATTCTGAAACATCAATAAAAAAAAGTCACATATAAGATAGAAAGCCACACATCCAATCATTGCTTCAGGTAGACTTCTAGGCCACGCAATCTGTTCCACGAAGCAGATGAGCAAAGAGATGATCAAATCAAACAATTATATAAGTAATTCAGCAAGACGAACCTTGAATGTTAAGAAGGTAAAATGACTCGAGAGATTCACATTTCCGAGCTGGCTTGTTTGGAACATCCTTTTTGAAAGCCTTAGTCGCATCGATATCTGGATGGATCTTCTTCTTCAGCATCTTCTTTATCATCTACAATAATATATAAATGAAGTTATACTTGTTTCCCACACCAAATGCATATTTACTCACATATAAGTATACTCATGAAGCAACAAAGTTACAGTTAACTTTATTTAGTGCTTGATGTAACGTCGTTTCGCTGGAATATTTGAGGCATTGGGGCACATGTAACATGTTCAATATATCATCATCAATGTTTCACAATCTTGAAATTAAAATAAAATTAATATACCTGATGCACTTTCTTGATTGGACGCGGCTCTTCTTCTTTGTCTTTGGACTTTGACATGACCATTTTCTTCTTTCTAAACGAGAACTTACTGTTTAGCTTTGAACCTTTTCGTTTATGATATTTTACCTCATGATCATCAAGATTAGGGTTCTTTGGTTTCTTCTTGCTATGCCACTTGTCATCGTCTTCGTCACGGTCTTCCATGAAAAGGTCAGCTAGTGTTGTCCTCTTCTTCTGTGGCTCCAGCTCGGCCTCCACCGTGGCCGCAATCACCGGCCTTTCAACGACTTTGATCGAGTTAAAGTATTCAGTGTTCAATACCTATTTAGATTATCATCTCAAAGGATATCAAGCTTAAAAATAAATAATTGTAGTTTGTGTTTGATTCTTTGAAGTTGTGGATCTATTCCAAAGATGTTATCAATGTAGAATATATTCTTGTACGTACCCCTAAATCAAGATGATGATCATATGACTTAATTTCATTGGAGATAAGAGGATCCAACTCTTGGTCGAAGTTCTTGATGATGCTACCATCGACTACGACATAGTCGAGACCCACACTCTCGCATTCATCATCATCATCATCTACTTCGTCTACCTCTTCTTGAAATTTCAAGGTGTCGAAACCGAAAGTGCCGATGGTGAGAACTCCATCGAACCAGTTATCAAGAGCATCCACTAACCCAACCTGATCCAATATAGCTCTCGTGTTCTTCTCTATCTCACTTGTTCCGTCACATCTCTTCTTCTTCTCGTTTTTCGCCACAACATCTATTTCTTTCACCATGTGAAAATATACATTGTATATCTAAATATAGCTTGGAGACAAAATTTATGCTCTTTGTAACGAGTATATGTTTCATATAAGACTAAATATTAAACAGGGCACATAATACCTAAGTATTAAACAGGGAACCACATGATCTTGTAAAAAGAAGCAAACCTACTTCTAATAAACAAAATAAAGAAAAAAAACTCATTTTCAAAATAAATTAGCTAACCTTTGGGGACATTGTGGTGCAGCTTTTTCTGCACCCAGTTTAAGATCTTCGAGAAAAATCCAGAAAAAGAATGATTTATATATAACTCCGAGCTAGAACAAATATAGAGAGAATAAAATTAATACATGTAAATGGAATAACTACAAAATTACATACCCTCATAGTTTATATTTCTTCTTATCAGCAGAAAGAGTGAAGTTCTCAAGTCTTAACCTCGAGCAAAAGAATTTATTAGACCTAAATATATCGAAAGAGGAGTGCCTCAGCTTTTGACACGTGTCAACAATGAGAGTTGGGTTAGATAGGTCTGACTTTAAGGAGACAAAACCAATCAGTAGGCGCCACATGTCAGTGATGTTGTGCTTATCTGGTCGTCACAGTAGCACAGTACTCTTCCCACCTTCCTCGATTATTAAGAAATTACCTTTTGACCCGATTACTTGTATTATATCAGAGTTTGACCCAATAATTTCATCATTTTCAGATTTGCCTCCTCCCTTGGTCTTTCTATGGTTCGTTTTTTTTTTGTAATATTGTTGGTAGACTTCTGTTGCTGTCAATGCTTTTCTCATTTGATTTGACACTGAAAGGAAAATTCGTTGCACAAAAGCGATAGGTTTGGTTTCAATCAATTTTAAGTTCCACTTTTTAAATAATTCAAAAGCTTTGGATTCCTCCAAGAAGGTCCAAAAATAGTTGAAGCAATGCAGTCGCTTTTGTATAAATGTCGCAGATCGTTCCTTCACCATCAACAGTAGTATATATTCACAAAATCTAGCGATCAAATTTTAGGAGTGATAATAATCCCCAAATTTTAAAAAGTTAACTTTAACAGCTATGTCGTTTCTCTTAAGTCTAGGACCGTCTTAAATTATTTGTAGGTCTTTCTTCAAATTCTTTTTAGGATATATTCAATGTGGTAAAACAAACTTTTTTAAAAGTTATAGGCCCTAATTATATGTATAATAGAACATTTCTTAAGGAAGTTTTCTCTTTTGAATTATAATCGTGTTCGATTGCTCCACTTAGACATGCTTAAAGACGGCTTTGCTCTTGATAGAAACATTTGCTATATATTCAATATTAATTACAAGCTTGGTGTAAATTCGAAGTTATATTATAAAATTCATCGCCAAGCCTGCCGGTACCATTTTGTGATGGATTTTCCGCAAAAAGTTTCAATGACGGTTTTATATCTGTGACCAAACTTCTGCCAAATTTGTCGATGATTGGTTGAATGATAAAGTAAATACTGATATGATCATAAGATCGTCGGATGCCTATTAATTAAATCTTCAAAAACATAATAGAATATGAAGGCTACGCATGCACATGCAAAGTACCCGAAAGCTTTCGAAGATCGTAACACAATACCCCACAAACAGTTCACTCTCCTTTCTCTTTGTCACTTGCTTCTTGTTCCTAAACTTTTGTTATCTTTTGCCTAATACTGTTATGGCCACTTTAGTTCAACCACATGTTTTTCTCGAAAGTATTGTAGCGTAGTATTAGAAATGGGGTTAAATATTCCGGTATAATGTTTTTTTCTGGTTAGATATTTGATCATCTCGAGTTTTTACAGGTTTACAAATATCAAGTTAACATATCTATATTTCCAATTAAATACTTATATAAATCTCTAGAGATAATATATAGCCTTTTAGTTAGGTATACAGAGACTTGATTAGTTCAAAATTTTTTCTCAACTTGTTAGATTGATTGTCAGTAGCCAAAAGTCTAAAACAAATAATAATAATTAAAAACGTAGAAGCATATTACATATAATATCTTATTGATTGAGAGGTTTATATGTGAATGCATTTGTCTTTTCCTTAATCAAACAAATAAAATTGAGTGAATAAATATATGTATGAATACATTGGAGATATTTTGTTGGATATAAAAGCATGAGGTTTGGGGTATGTCTCGTAACGACCACACGAACAATTAGACATTAGACGATTGAATCTAAGTAATTGAGTTGATTTGAAGGACATTTGATTAGTAACATATGTTTAGTTCTCCGCATAACTATGTCGTGTGTGACCATATCATTTTGGAATATAGTAGTATCCAAAGTGTTACCTCACTTTTTATAAAAGTACTGTAAATCAATAGTGTTATAGTATACAATAATGTATGTAAAGGCCCAAATTTTAAAAATTGGACATATACATTAGACATTGGATGTTCACGATAATATGGGCCTAGCATAGAGTAAACAATACGATGACATAAATTTTTTGATTATTAGTTTCATAGCATTTGAAATCTCACTAGCGTGAGAGACACGGAGAAAACAAAAGAGCGTTTACAAGTAAAAAAGTCCATCTCAATAAACAAACCAAAGTCTCCATATGAGAGAGAGAGGGTTTTCCAAAAGCTTAGAGAAGAATCAGAAACCACACTACTCCCACTCAATTTTTCTTTATTCTTTTTTCATTATTGTAATTAAATTGAATTTATTGCAAATTAAACCCAAAACCTTTAGCTTTTTTTTCTTGTGTTTTGTTTTTCCTTTTATAACAAGAGAATCCAGGACGAAGCTCAGATAGTATTTTGTTTTTTTTTTCTATCTCAGTTGGTGTATCCACCATTACCGTAATCTTGGAAGTGGAAACCATTGCCGGAGCCAGGTTTCCGGGAGATTTTAAGATGAACGCCGGGATCGTGATGAGTCGCCGTCGAGTTGTAAACTATAGAGTTGTTTATCATCTGAACGTTACTGTTCATAAAAGCTTTCATTGGGAGATTACTATGATTGCCATTATTAGGGTTCTTTGTACTTTTTTTCTTCCCTTCTCCTTCGTCACTGCTACTGCTGCTGCTGCTTTGAAGTCGCCTTCCTTTCTCTCCAGCGTTGTTTAAAACCCTAGAATGTGTTCCTGCTCCTCCGGTTTTGTTGCCTGAAGGAGATCGTAGGATCTCCATTACAGCACCTTTGTTTTCACCTGCGATAGTGATGACTCGTGTTCCCATTATGTTCTCAGATTCGGAAAAAGATGGCTGATGATGATTCCTCTTGGTGTTGTTGCCTTGATTGTTATGGTTTTGGTTATAGTTTTGGTTATGGTTTTGGTTATGGTTATAGTTTTGGTTATGGTTTTGGTTATGGTTATAGGTTTGGTTGTGATGATTTTGTTCGTGGAGTTGGCTTGTTTTTTCGGCTGTGAGAATGTTTTTCTGAGTGGTTTCGCGTTCGGAATGTATCTGAGAAGGTGGGAGAGAGTAAGGAGAGAGTACTCTCGGTGATGGTCCTTTTCGAGGACTCTCTGAATCAGATTTTATGGAGTGAGTTGAATGAGCTGGACTCGGTGGTGAAGTTGGTTTACGCGGTGGTAAGGCTTCTTGAACCTCCTTGGGAGATGGTGGCGGCGTGTATGACGAGCGAGGCGGTGGCGGTGGAGGCGACTTAGCCTTTGGTGGGGTCGGTGGTGACATGTGGCGGCTTGGAGGTGAGTTATATGGGGACCGCTCTTGAGGAGGTGGAAGTGGAGGAGTTTGCTGACGTGGAGGGGAAGGAGGTTGTTGCTGACGTGGAGGTGACGGTTGTTTTGCCGGTGGCCGGACTATGACCGGACGGCGAGGAGTCTGTCGGGGCTGAGGTGGAGGAGGTGGGTCGCTTGAACCTTGTGATGTAGGCCTTGCAATGCTAGAGAGACGGAACCATGGACGAACGTTAGACATTTGTATTTTTTGTATATATTTGAAATGTGAGAGAAGTTATTAGTGTGACAAAACACAATGGAACGATTCAGATATGTGACCGAAACTTATAGATATATACAAGTGTGTTGAAGAAAAGAGAAGCACGAGAAACATGAAAAGAGAAAGTAAATGGAGAAGAAAGGTATCAGATCCATGCAATAAGATTTCCAGCTTGCAAAAACCACATTTTACGACTGGTATCAATCGTTAAGAGTCCTTTTCAAGCTTTTCCTTTAAATTGTTTTTTCACCGTTAATAGTTTAATGTAGATTCTAAAATTCGTTGCTATGTCTTGAAAAAGAAGGCTGTGCATCTAGTCATAGACACAAAAAGACGACTAAATCAGGCGAAGAACAAAATCTTTACAATAGTACCTCGAACTACTTGCATGTTTGATTTTTTCTAGTCCATTGAAAATCGCTCAACAACAAAAACATACATGACAAATTATTGCAAAAACAAGGAGAGTAGTGCTTCTCCACTGGTGTGAGACAAATTATTCTCAGATTCTCTTTTTTTTTTTTTCGTTTTCAATTTGACGACTAAGTATATTATAAGTATTAACCTTTGTATACTTTTCATACGAACGGTTGGTATTGTTTCAAGTAGGTTGAATTTTTTTGGCAACTGGCTTTTATTCAAGGATTATTAAAATACAGAGAATGGGAAACTTCAGAAACCAACCATCGAATACTGATGAGCAGTAGAAAGTATCTCTGTGTTAAGCATCTTCCTCAGCTTTTCTTTTCGAATTCATTAAATTAATATGTAAAAATGTATTGATCACTAATCTGAGCCACTATTTCTTTCCTTTATCGAATATGTATGTAATGTGTTTGTGTGTGTGTTGTTAAAGCGAACGAGAGGGTTTGGGGATTATTTTTTTGAAATCTTACCGTTGAATCAACAACGTTCGAATGTCTTTTACCATTACCAGTTGGGCACGAATCACAATCGGGCCCTTAATAAGGCTTTATGAACAGAGACGTAAGTTTATTAGCTCAAATTTATTAATTTCGAAATCCTGACATCGGTTTTTCTATCCAGTGGCGATAAACTGAAAACGGTAACACGACCGTTGTGTGTAAAGGCCCATTATGGTTTAGAGGTCGAGTTACTTCAAAGTGCTTTTGTTAAGAGTTCTATACACACACCAGAGAAATAAACAACAGATTCTTGTTCAACTTTCAATTGCTCGTGTTATAGACTGTTTTTTTGTTCTAAGTTATAGACTGTTATCCTTTTGAATTTATACTTATTTACTATGTAAGCCAACGCCAACGAAAGACTATATTTCCAAGTTCAAAACACGTTTTCTTTTTGTTAGAATTTAGTTTGTCTCGAATTGTCAAAATTTACCAACACATGGAGCTGTTTAATTAGTCGGATTATATCTAAATAAGTTTAATATAAGATCAAGATATTAAATATATGTATGATTAGCGTAAAGTCATGATGGATGCACACACCGATGACGTCCAATTTGTACAACTTTCCAGACAATCGATTAGTGCAGAACATGTAAAGCAAAAGCCGAAAGAAAAGAGTCTCGTTGTGTATTTCCATTGAATGTAATTATTGTTAATATTGGACCACCGTCTATGTGGTATGGCTTCGGAAATTTGAAATTTCCTCGTGCTGAAACATTCAAAAGCTATTCTGAGTCCGTCCCTAGTTGTACAACAAATTAAACATTTTGAATTATGTTTTGAAAAATAAAGAAACATGCGTGTATCATTCTCACTTGTACCTTATCATCAACAAGCTAATTTTGTTTGGAGACTCAGCAAATTACAAGGAATTAACAATTGTGGTTTTGGTCAAAAACAAGTCCCCACTTTGAAAGAAGGTGGTTTGGACTTTTGGACGGCTAATTAGGCTGATTTTGGATGCAATATAACCAAATGTATTGAAAATGTCAAACTTAGGTTGTGCTTAATGTGGGATGTACTCTCGTTCGTCAACACTAACCGTTTAATTTACTCGATGTTGTTGCTATATCCATCAATGAGTTATTTAGAGAAAAATTACTACTTTGCTCGTTAATGATTAACCAAATTGTAATTTCTTGACGTCGCAGACAAGATTGTTTGAGAAAAATGCATAACGGCATAAAGGAGGATAAATATACGGCTATTCCGGGAACAAAAATTCATATATTTTTGTAATACACAAAAACGATCGAGTTTTTAAATTTTCATGGGATATGTTAGTTAGTAGTGGAGAATAAGCTTTTGTCCTTAATCATGAACTATACAACTACTGCCTTTTGATCTAATGGACTATTTTTTCCTTTTCTCAGTTTCCCCTGAAAACTAAAAAGTATCAAGTTCATGTTATAATCATGTCTCTGACTAATATATTCCTATATTAAGGCTTTACGAGTTAGTTATCATTTTATCTAATAAGACCCTTCAAAATACCCAAGGGTTATGCGGCTGTTAAATTGTGATAAATTAAATTACTTAATTCCTCTTGCACCTACCTCAGACTTTATGACAAATTAAACAAGAAAAGACAGACAAATTTAGCTGGGAAAAATGACATTTAAATCCCGAACTTTCAAAATTCGGCCATTTTAACCACCAACTTTTACGTGGACTAATTATATGACAAACTTATGTTGACTTTAGTTTTAAATCCCAAACTTTTGTTGACTCGGCCAAATTAGTCCCGGCGTTAAGTTGCCTAACAGACCAAATAAACATCGTTAAATCCACCTTAAAAACCTCTGTTAAGTAAAACGATGTCGTTCTAAAAACTCAGAAAACCACCCAAATCAAAACACTTTCAAACCCTAAGTTGTAAAATCGATTTCTCTTCAGAATTCCCAAATCGATTTCCACTCAGCTTTAAATTGATTTCTCTCTTTTTCGATTTCTTCCTTTTCGATTTCTAACTACTATCGAATGAGATGACAAAAGCAAAACGAAAAGCAGTATCACGCAAAGGTGAAGAGATTGACGATGGAGGTGATGGTGAGCCTGAAATTGACGATGGAGGTGATGATGAGCCTGTAATTGAAGATGATTGTGGCGTTGTTGGTGATGATGATTGTGACGATGTTGATGATGGTGATGATGAAGATGATGAGAACGACGTGAACACTTCAGGGGTCGTAGAAGAAGGTTGTGAAGACTTAGTACAACATTTTGGAGAGGCTGCAAGAGATGATGAATCTGGGAGTGATGCAGATAGTGGAGATGATATATGGGATGATGAGAAGATTCCCGATCCTATGTCATCCGATTCTGACGACGACGATGAGGACGAAGAGCAAGGGCAGCGAGAGAATGACGATCCTGATCAGTTGCTAGCATTAGGAAAAACTTTTAATACTCCTGAAGATTTCAAGCTTGCGGTTCTAAGGTACTCACTGAAAACTCGTTATGACATCAAGCTATACAAGTCGCAAGCTATGAAGATTGGGGCAAAGTGCTCGGACACCGATGTTAACTGTGGATGGAGAGTTTACTGTTCTTATGAGAAGAGGAGACATAAGATGCAAATAAAGGTGTATGTGAATAACCATACATGTGTGAGATCAGGTTACACGAAGATGTTGAAGCGATCAACAATTGCATGGTTGTTTTCAGAAAGATTAAGAAAGAATCCACATATTACAAAACAGGAGATGGCTGCTGAGATCAAGAGAGAATACAACTTGGTTGTAAGTGACGACCAATGTGGGAAGGCGAAATCAAAACTCATGAGAGAAAGGAAAGCTAGTCATGAGGCCCATTTTGCAAGGGTATGGGATTATCAAGCAGAGATTTTTCAGACTAATCCACACACCAAATTTGAGATTGAGACTATCCCAGGTCCGACCATTGGCAGCAAAGCAAGGTTTTATAGGTGTTATGTTTGTTTTAGTTCACAAAGAGAGTCATGGAAACAAACATGTAGGCCTATCATAGGCTTAGATGGTGCTTTTCTGAAATGGGATATAAAGGGTCATCTTTTAGCTGCTGTTGGTAGAGATGGAGATAACAGGATAGTGCCCATTGCGTGGGCAGTAGTCGAAGTAGAGAATGATGATAATTGGGACTGGTTTATCAAACAACTCTCTGGAAGTTTGGATCTTGGCGATGGCAGAAAAGTTTCAATCATATCCGATAAACATAAGGTTAGTATCATCATTGGAAAATAATCATTTATACTTTTTGTTTGTAATCTTACATCTTATCATCATTTTCTTTACAGAGTCTTGTTAAAGCGGTGAAGAACGTTCTTCCCCAGGCTGAACATAGGCAATGTGCTAGACATATTATGGAGAATTGGAAGAAAGACAGTCATGATAGAAAACTACAAGAGCTGTTTTGGAAGATAGCTCGCAGTTACACTATGGGAGAATTTACGGACAATATGGAAGCATTGGCAAGGTACAATCCTTATGCTTTCGCAACTCTGCAGGATACTAATCCTAAGTCTTGGTCCAGGGCTTTCTTTAGGATAGGTTCTTGCTGCAATGATAATCTAAACAATCTGAGTGAGTCTTTTAATAGAATCATTCGTCAAGCAAGGAAAAAACCTTTACTGGAATTGTTAGAAGATATTAGGCGACAGTGTATGGTACGTAATGCAAAGAGGGCTATTATTGCTGGAAGATTGAAAAAAAGATTCACAGTTAGAGCTCACGAGGAGATAGAAAAGATGATAGCAGGGTCGCAATTTTGCATTAGATATATGGCCAGGGATGATTTTCACGAGGTTGAATTAAATAATGATCGTTATTGTGTGGATATGAACACGCTAACATGTGGTTGCAAGAAGTGGCAAATGATTGGAATACCATGTGTTCATGCTGCAAGTGTTATCATAGCAAAGAAAAGGAAGGTTGAAGATTATGTGAACGACTACTATACAACAAGAATGTGGCAGGAGACATACAGAAGAGGTATTAAGCCTGTCGAAGGCATGAAAGTGTGGCCTAGATTGAATAGATTACCTGTCTTGCCACCACCATGGAGAAAAGGCAATCCTGGTAGGCCAAGTAACTATGCCAGGAAGAAAGGCAAAAATGAATCTGCGTCAAAATCGAGCAAGACGAAGCTATCACGAGCTTTAAGAGTTATGACATGCTCAAATTGCAAAGAAGATGGGCACAACAAGCAAACTTGTGAAAATCCGTTTGTTGAGAGTCAACCTAAACGACCAAGGGGTCGGCCAAAGAAATATCAGGTTTGTGTCTTTCCATACTATCAAATCTGACATGAATATTCTGATTAGTTGAATATAAAATAAAATATTTGAAACAGGAAGGAGATTCACAAGCTCATGGCCTTTCACAAGCACAAAGAGTCTCACAAACAGAAACAGTTTCAGAACCACAAGGAGTCTCACAAGCAGAAAGAGTTTCACAACCACAAGGATTTTCTCAAACACAGGGATTTTCAAAAAGAAAAAACGGAGCTGCACAACCACAAGGGTCTCAAGGACAAGGATCACAAAGAGAAAGAAGACATGGAGTTGCAAAGCCACAAGGATTTGCAGGACACGGATCACAAGGAGAAAGAGAAGGAGTTTCACATGCTCAAGATCAAGGTTCAGAAGGAAGATGGGCACAAAGACAAGGATCTCAAGGACAAGTATCTCAAGGACAAGGATCTCAAGGTTGGGGACCATGGTTTTGATGTTTGGTCACAAATCTTTGAAATGTATTTCTGGCATTCTGTTTTATGAAACTATGCGGATGGGATCATGGTTTAGTGTTTTGACATTTTATTTTTGTTATTAGGGATCATGTGTTTTAGATTTGTGAACTGGTTCTTTTTTTTGTTGTATCAGATTTTTGATCATGGTTTGTCATCATGGTTTTGCTGGTTTTGTATCAAACATTTTTTATGCTTTCATCTTTGTTCATGAAATGTTTTTAAATCCACATTATGCGATGAAACACATAGCAGAGAAAGAAAGAAGGAAACAGAGCAGAGAAAGAAAGAAGAAAACAGAGTGAGATGGGAACATTGTGAACTGTTTATTACGACATATTATTCAAAGTTGGAACTCATTGGAGCAGGAACTAGAAGAGAGGAGAAATCGGAAGGGAAAGGAGAATTTGATCTGTTAAGGATTACAATCAGATGAGAGGAGAGATCGAGAAGAATCGATTTGGGAATTCTGAAGAGAAATCGATTTTACAACTTAAGGTTTAAAAGTGTTTTGATTTGGGTGGTTTTCTGAGTTTTTAGAACGACGTCGTTTTACTTAACAGAGGTTTTTAAGGTGGATTTAACGATGTTTATTTGGTCTGTTAGGCAACTTAACGCCGGGACTAATTTGGCCGAGTCAACAAAAGTCTGGGATTTAAAACTAAAGTCAACATAAGTTTGTCATATAATTAGTCCACGTAAAAGTTGGTGGTTAAAATGGCCAATTTTGAAAGTTCGGGATTTAAATGTCATTTTTCCCAAATTTAGCTTGTTTCTTAAGTGAATTAGCTATGAGCTCTTGTCCTTAATATCGATCGTAATTATTATATGTGGAATATTCTGGTGATGAAAAAAAAAATGTAGTGGAATAGCCCAAAGAACAAAAAAAAAAATGAAACCAGGTTTTGCTTATTTTCCTAATCCAAGTTGACTTTTCAAGTTTCCTAGCCACGATAGTTGTGGAAACTAGTTTACAACGAATAATGTTTCAGTTGCCGTATCAAATGCTGCATGTATATAGTGCAAGGCATATCTTTACTTGATCATATTTTAATTCAGTTACTCTTAATTTTTGTCCTTCAATATTGTTAATTTTTGTCCTTAATTCAGTTACTCTTAATTCTTGTCCTTAATTTTTGTCCTTGACAAGTAATGAATCTGCATACTTTTTTAATATAGTTTGTGTGACTATGGGTGTTCATTTATTTGTTTGTTTGTTTTAATGTAAAAAGTATTTTAGGTTAATTATGTAGTCGTTGTTGAAAAAAAAAGGTTAATTATGTAGTCAAATACACAAAAACTAAACAACCGTAATTCTTGTTTGTTATAGCATTACTAACAAGTTAAAAGTGTGAAAACTGTTTTTATGTTTTTGTTAAACTTAAATTTATTCAAAATATGTATAATTGAGCTAATTTTCAGGATTTTGGTTTATAGATTCATGAACATACAAGAGATTCGAACATTCCAAAAAATTTGTATCAAATTTATCATTCAGACAAAAAAAGATTCATGAACATATATGGCATACAAGAAATTTCACCAAATTAAATGCAAGTTTTGTGCTATTATCTTGCTCTATGGATTACCTTTCAAACAAAATCTTCATACTCATTACTTATGCAAAGTGATTTAAACCTTTCAAAACAACTAAACATTAGCTAGATTTTTGTTATTATCCTTTTTGCTGTGTGGATTACCTTTTAAATAATTTTTTTTTCCAAATCACCACTAATGGAAAGTAATATTATTACATATCATTGAATGATTTTTCCAATATTTTGGTTTATAAGGATTCATGAACATACACAAAATACCAAAAATCTCAACCAGAATGCAAAATTTTGATATTATCTTTTTTTTGTTGTTGTGTAATTAACTTTTAAATCGAATCTTACTAATCATCACTTTGCAAAATGATTTTGAACCTTTCAAAACAACCGTCACACAATTTTTTCTAAAATACCAAATTACCCTTTGATTGCTGAGTGAGTCAGCGTCATCGTCCCTGTCACGCCACTTTTTATATATAAAAAAAAATGAAAACTTTCGTCGTCTTTTACGGCTTTCTCTGAGTGTTCTTATTATTCTCCCAAGTCTTAGCTCTCTAAACATCCGTCAAAATTATCACTCTTTTATTTGTTTTCACAATTCTCAGAACATGCCTTTGCTTTCTTCTCTTAACTCTTCATTGTCATTCTTTTAGCTGAGTTTTGGAAACAGAATCGAAGAGTTTCATTTTCATTTTCCGGGAAAATTTTGCCATGGGGATTCTCTCGGATTCGTTTTTCTGGTTACTCGCGGCGGGTATTGTTTTGTTCTTGGTGAGGATCGTGTTATTCAAAACTGGATTGATTTACATGGTGAAGAAATGGCGGAGGACGGTCTTCGATTGGTTCCATGTTTATCAATTTTACAAGGTCCCAGAATTCAACGACAACGTGCAAGAGAATCAGCTGTACCGGAGAGTGTACACGTATCTGAATTCGTTGAGCTCGATCGAGAATTCCGATTTCACGAATCTCTTCACCGGGAAAAAGTCTAACGAGATCATCCTCCGCTTGGACCGGAACCAGGTCGTTGGCGACGAGTTTCTCGGCGCTAGAGTTTGTTGGATCAACGGAGAAGACGAAGACGGAGCGAGGAGTTTCGTTTTGAAGATTCGCAAAGCCGATAAACGGAGAATTCTCGGCTCGTATCTCCAGCATATACACACAGTCTCTGATGAGCTTGAGCAGAGGAACACAGAGCTGAAGCTGTTCATGAACGTTGGAATCGACGGAGACGATGAAGGGAAGAGGAGGAAGAAGAACGGACGGTGGAGATCGATTTCGTTCAATCACCCGTGCACCTTCGACAATATCGCCATGGAAGCGGATTTGAAGAACAAGGTGAAATCGGATCTCGAATCGTTCCTCAAAGGGAAGCAGTACTACAATCGGCTTGGGCGCGTCTGGAAAAGGAGTTATCTCTTGTACGGACCTTCCGGCACCGGGAAATCAAGCTTCGTCGCGGCGATGGCGAATTTCCTGGATTACGATGTTTACGATATAGATCTATCCAAAGTTGCGGATGACTCGGATTTGAAGATGCTTCTGTTACAGACCAGAGGCAAATCAGTGATCGTCATCGAAGATCTCGATCGATTCATCTCGGCGAAATCAACGGCTGTGAGCGTGTCAGGGATTTTGAATTTCACAGATAGTATCCTCAGCTCATGCGCCGCCGATGAACGGATCATGGTGTTCACGATGACGGGGAAAGAACAAATCGACCCGGCAATGCTCCGACCGGGTCGGGTCGACGTTCACATTCACTTCCCGTTATGCGATTTCACGGCGTTTAAAACGCTCGCCAACAACTACTTGGGCGTGAAAGAGCACAAGCTTTTCCCTCAAGTGGAAGGAATATTCCAAAACGGTGCGTCTCTAAGTCCCGCCGAGATCGGAGAGCTGATGATCGCGAATCGTAATTCGCCGACTCGTGCGTTGAAGTATGTCATAAACGCTCTGCAGATTGACGGAGATCGGAGGGGAAATGGAAGGCGCTCGCTTCAAGAAAGCGGCACGAGAAGATCGACATCGGAGGATGTCACCAGCGAAATGAACAGTCCTCTTTGCGGCGGAGGGAGTTCGCCGGCGGTGAAGGAGTTCAGGAAGCTATATGGGTTGTTGAGGATCAAAAGTAGTAGAAAATCTGAGTCGTTTGATGTGGCTCGAGAAAGTAAGGACGGCTAGAGATTAAAGTTTTGAAAGTCAACAGCCACGTGGGCTATTTTTATTGGTTTAAGAGTGTTGACAAATCGCAGACTAGAGAGAATGTTCCTATGTTTTGTTTTTGTTTAGTTTAATGTACAGAAGCTTTACAATACAAGAATTGTTGGGCTTTTTTTTTTGATATCAAGGAACATTTTGGGCCGATTCTTAAAAATAAGCCCGTAACGTTTCTGAAAATCCAAATATGCCCTTAATGATCGAATGGCTAAAGAGAGATGTGAATTAGATCGAACGGTCACGAGGACAGCGTCATTAACACGCATTGGGTTACTTTATAAAATTTGCGTTACTAAACGAAAACTCCGTCTTCTTCGTCGAGCGTCGTCGTCGTCGTCTAGGGTTTATCTTTCTCGTTACCTTCCTCTGATTCTTCAAGGTAATATTAAATTTCTCTCCGCGGACGACTTCAGCTTTTTCCAGCTCTTCGATTATAGAGTTTCTGACATTTGGTGTTGCATCGTTAGGAATTCGATTTCGTCTGCAAGTATGAGGCCGGTGTTCGTCGGGAATTTCGAGTATGAGACTCGCCAATCGGATCTTGAACGGTTGTTCGGCAAGTACGGGAGAGTGGAGGGAGTTGACATGAAGTCTGGTAAAAGTCTTACAGTTTTTTTGCAATTATACTATTGAACATAGGAATTTGGGATTGCGTTTGTTGGATAAGTTGTTCCCTTTGATCTAGGATTGCGTGATTCCGCCACTTCTAAGCATGATTTAGTGTCAAGTTAAGAATATAATTCAAGAGATGGAACGATTAGTGTAAAATCAAGGATTTTGTTGATGGTGGAAAGAGAGGAATTCTTGTATTTAAGTGTTTGTTTGGTCGCAGGAGCTATCTCCAAAGGAGCAATTCTCTTTTCCTGCACATTGCCTACTTCTTCCTGCAAATAGATTGCTACATTTTCATGCCTACCTTTATCATGTTGTGCCTACAATCATCTTCGCTGAGTTCTAGAGAAAAACCTTGGAAGTCAATTGTTTCCTTGATGCCTTTCATATCTGAAACAACTCCTTCTCTGTCAGAATGGTGAAGCAATCATTCAGAATTGAAAAGAAAACAGAAAAATTGGATTTTAGTATCTTTCGATAGGCTACAACTACACATCTCTTTATTTTCTACTACATGATGGAAATGCCTCTACATCTTATGCACACCAGCCTTCACATTGATGCAGGTGTTGTATAATTTATTTTAGTTTGCGTTTTTTCTAGGTAATGAAAAGGTGTTTTCTTGTTGACTAACTCCTCCTGCATTGCAAATTCTGTGGGATGAATTTGATGTGGTGCGTTTTCTTATGATCTCGTGCTTGTACATTCTTGCAGGTTATGCGTTTGTGTATTTTGAGGATGAGCGTGATGCTGAAGATGCAATCCGTGGGATTGACAATACCCCTTTTGGCTATGAGAAACGCAAGCTCTCAGTTGAATGGGCCAAGGTATCTAAATTCTCCTTTTTCTTCTCTTCTAATGAATCATTTGTTCTGTTTTTTTTCTTTGAGTGAGTTATAAGTTTGTTCTGGCTTCCAGGGTGAGCGTGGGAAGCCTCGTGATGGTAGAGGAGCGTCGAACCGGAGGCCTACTAAGACACTGTTCGTCATCAACTTTGACCCTATGCGCACCAAAGAGCGTGATATTGAGAGACACTTTGACTCGTATGGTAAAGTTCTCAACGTCCGCATAAGGCGCAACTTTGCATTTGTTCAATTTGCGACACAGGAAGATGCAACCAAGGCCCTTGAGTCTACGCAAAACAGGTAACAACACACACGCTTAGTACCTATCTAACAGAGAGAGTGGTTGACCAAATTGATAAGCCCTTACACGTCCGTCCTCCTTTTGGCAGCAAGATAATGGACCGGGTTGTTTCTATTGAGTATGCTTTGAGGGATGATGATGAACGAGGAGAAGATCGATATGCTGCTGCTAGTCCTAGAAGGAGATCTCCTAGTCCAGTGTACCGTAGGCGTCCCAGTCCTGACTATGGCCGTCCTCGCAGCCCTGAATATGACAGGTACAAGGGTCCAGCTCCGTATGAGAGGCGTCGCAGTCCAGATTACGGTCGTCGCAGTCCAGATTACGGTCGTCGCAGTCCAGATTATGGTCGTCGCAGTCCGGATTATGGTAGAGCTAGGAGCCCTGGTTATGACAGATACAGGAGGTAAGACAATACTTGGCTTCTCTTAACTCCTTCGATTACTGAAATCCTAAATCTCTTGGTTTCTCTAATTGTTTGACTTTTTTGTTGTGTTTTTTAACAGCCGGTCTCCAGTTCATAGAGAAAGAGGTTGATGATGAAGATGGTGTTCTGCTGCAAATGGGTTTCTGAATCTTTTGGTTTTCTACGTTTAGTCTGAAACTTAGAAGTATGTGTTTTTCACTACTTACGACTTTAATCGTACGTTCTTTGCTGCTACTATCTGTGCTTATAGTTTGAGTAGCTTTTAATGATACATCTCTTTTGGAATTGGATTATCTTTATAAAAAGATCTTTTTGGCCATGAAGAAGAATTCAACATTTATATAAGTTTTAAGAGAAAGAAAAATACACGAAGAGAGATTGTTCATCAAGGCAGAGAAGAAGAGTGATTGTGAGTGTAGAGTTCTTGGCTGATTGCTTTCTCGAGCCAAGTCTCTGCGTCTTCCATCATCTCGGGGCTTAACCGAACCATGAGAACGCAGAATTCGGTTTGGTTAAGAGCTCCATCCCCGTCGAGGTCTCCTTCTCTAACCATTCCTTCTGCATCTTCCATGCTCATTCCTTCGATCCCAAGTATCCCTGAGTTTCTTCTTAGACTCTCTGCTGTGATCAGATCTCTCTCTGGATCCGCTAGCAAACTGAAACCTTTACATAACTCTGACACGAACTCTTCAACATCCATCTTCTCCGCCATAATTGGTAGCATATCTTCGTATTTGGTCTCCATCATTGTAGGAGTTTCTAGAACATTAGATTTCTTGCTTTGAGGTTCCATTAGAGGGAAAAGATGAAAAAGTGAGAGAGATTTTGTGAAGTATTTTGATTGGTTTAGTCCAATGGGATTTGATTATATAAGTGAGTGGCGTATCTGTAGCGATGTGGTTGTCACGTTCGAACCTAATCTTGTGGTCTACAATAAACTCTCGCTCTATCGCTGTTGGATTCTGAGAGTTGAAGTAACGAACGGCTGTGATTCATCTGAACACGATGCGTGTTGGGTGTGTACGGAAGCATCTGATTATTAGGTGGTTTCGTGGAAACTTCGAATGGGCCGTGAATACGACGTATTCCGACTCTTGATTATGTAATTTTATTATCCAAAAGGGACATGAGAAGAAGTTTAAGAGAAGAAGTTTATGAGATTGTAAGTTTCGCAGAAGTTTCGTTTTCTTGATTTCTTCTGCCGGATCTCTGGATTTTGTTTTGTTATTATTAGTGTTATCTTGATGAATTGGATTCTCTTACTATAATAACGACAGATAATATATTTATCTCTTTCTCCGTCCAAGTCCTAACTGATTTGACGTAACGGTAAATTTCTTGTCTCAACTTGAGATGTGACTATTATTAGGTTAAAAAGTATAATTTCGAGGTTTTATTTTATTGCAAATGACTCATGAAAACTTTCTTTTTTTGAAGAAGGGTTTACTATTAGGCTCGTGTAATCTTTGTTGATGATATTTTCTGTTTTAATCTTTCTTGTATCACAAACCATGTATTTTACTAAAGCGTTTTATTTTATATATATAGAGTTTGACAATGGACAATGGAATACTAAATTCGACTTGTTAGTAGTTGCGTTTCCACCTCCAATCTTCCCAGAAGTTCAACATCTTTAATTAGGGGACATGTTCTTTATCTTCTTTTATATTCTCTAGCTCGAAGAAAACAGTGTCCTATTTAAAAAAATTGTAGTGTTATATAGTTGACTCGATCCATTTGAGTCCTTATAATATTTATTCGTATAAAGCGAGCATGCGCAGATAAGTCTAGATTTCTTTTTATACACCAGGAGAATATCGCGTTTGATTTCCTTTAAAGTATGTGAGAAATTTCCCAAAATAAGTCTTTGTGTCTTTATGTTAGCTATTGATTATTCAAAGCTGGTACATCTAAAAAGATCATCAAAGTATGCACTAAGTTTAGACGTATTGCCTATAATATTGTTTCTGAGTTACATATAGCTTTTTCATCGTAAAAAATATACCATGGAATCGAATTATTATTATACATGCGATAATCGATATCACGTACGGGCGTAAGGAAAAGATAAAAATTCATTTAAGAAATGAAAGCTGCCAAGATAGTACGTCTCTTCTTGCTCGTTACTCATTTCAAGTTTCAACTTCACCCATGGGATGCTATGCTTTTGAAATTTGATAATCAAGATGACTATTTTCTGAATATTTAGAATAAGTTGAGTCCTTATTCGAATATTGAGAATGAATGGCGACAATGCAATTATTTGCATAATTACGGTTTTTGGTATGGAAAGACTTGTACACAAACTTTGATGAGAAACACTTAATTATACAGATAGAAGAAACGATGAATACATATCATGTAATACTCAAGAGATTGGTATTCACATATTCTTCTACCCATACATAACTCCGTTGTACACACAAATATACTAATTAATCAACAAATCTTAGGGGAAAACCAACCCAAATTGCCACAAACCCATTTAAAAAACATTTCAAAAAATAAATATTGATTTAAACAAAATAAAAGCCCCAAAATATATGGATAATAGAAAAAACTATGTTGTGTTAGCTAAGTTCTGACAACTTTAACTAAAGTACCCCATGTGAGGCAAAAGATCATATGAAAGAGAATTAGAAAGCTAGTTTCATAATCTTCTTTTGATCATTTTGCTTCACCATGAAGATCCTCCTCCTGTAGTACTGAACATCCCACTCCAATAACCATTATTAGGGCTTGAATTATTATTATTATTATTTCCATGGCTCTTCTGCTGTTGATTATCATCATGATCAACTTCTTGTGTTATGCTTGATGAAAGCTCCTTCATTTGATCCCCAAATGGAAACAAAACCCTACCTTGATGATGATCATTATGAGCATCGTCAGACCTATTGTTGTTGTTGTTGTTGTGTCCAAGCCCTTGATGATCCGTAGAGAAAGAGAGATTGCTAGGCTTGTAATCCACCATTGTTGGAAACCCTGAAGAAGTGTAAAGCACATTGTTCGATGCATCCATCATTGGACCAGAAGGCATGAACGAGTTGATCCCTGATCTTGAAGAAACATTAACTCCTGTTCTTAAAAGCTCAAGAGCTGAAACAGGAGACGACGAAGAACCATAGAGAGAAGAAGATGATGAAGGCTGCTGATGAGCTATGTTGCCATTTCCTTCCATCTTAGGCATCTGAAGAAACTGAGACATATGAACATGATGATGTTGGTGATGTTGATCTTGCATGACCGGGAAAGACAACAAGTTGAGATCTTGTGATGACCCTTTTGGTTTATTATGGATTTGGTTTGAGAAGAGAATTGGTGGGTTTAGATCTGGAAGAGTAGTGGTCAAACCAAGTGAAGACGGTGTTGTCTGAAGGATGTTTGAAGAAGAAGAAGAAGACCTCTTGTTCTTTCTTGAGCTTCCTCCGACAGGAACGTTCCTAAGAGATCCACCTTCGGTCCAATACCTTCGACAACCTTTGCAAAAGTATCTTGGTTGTGTAAGACTATAGTTGTTGTAGTAACAAAACTTTGTGTTGGTTGAGTTACATCTTGGACAATTTAGTTTCTCTTGTGGTCTTGCTTTCCTCTCCACCACAACCGCCGTATTGTTGTTGTTGCTTACGCCGGAGACGGTTGTTCCTGGGGCTGAGACGCCGTTAGAAGTGAGAATGGTGTTTGGCCTTGCATTAGATGTGGTGTTTGATTGATGTGTGCTGTTATTAGGAATCATAATTTGCTCCATTGGTTTTACGTTCATCATTTCTTGAAAGCCCTAGAACATTGAGAATGAAAAGAATTAATTAGATTTTATATCTAAAACCCTATATCAAAATATATAGACATAATTAAAAATTCGTAAACTAAATAATAAGCTGAATAGTACATAAACATATGATAAATTCGCATCATGCTCATCAATTTTAAGCACTAATTAAACAATAAATTGGAACATGCATGTTAGATTTTCCTTATCTGATATCTTACAGAACCATATAGAATTTGGTGAAAAGGGTAAAGAGATGAACACCAAGAACAAAGAGTAAATAAATCATGACTTTATATTTCTATCTTCATTATTTTTGAAGATATAATTAATGATTAATCACAGAAAAAGGCTGTAAAAGTGTTGGTGAGCATAATATATCCCTAATCTTTTCTTTCCGACCTCGAAACATACAAAAATGATAATTTTCTCATGCAAATTATTCATCGAAGTGTGTGTAAAACTCTTAAAATACACATATCTCTATTCTCTATAACCACAAATACATGATCAGCATGACATTCATCTATCTATATAACAATATAAGCAGACTGCAGACACATAAATATATATGCATATGATTTCAAGTACGAAATATTCTTTCACGGATCATGGAAGAAAGAAAGAGAAAGAAAAGAGAGAAAAGAGAGAAAAAGGAAGAGGTGGTTAAGAAGAAGAAGAAACAAAAGAGAAGAGGCAAAGGAAGATCTTTTAAGCACCTGTGTCCACTTCGTAGCGTCCATGACTTCCGACAAAGAGAAAGCCAGAGAGAGAGAGAGATATGTGTGTGGGTTTTGAGTAAAGGCCAAAGAGAAGAATGTTTTTGGAGACTTTTTTTTTTGTTTGCCTTTTCTTTGTTTGTGAGTGATGGCTCTTCTATGCGTTGCCTTTCACTTTATGGATGATGAAAAAGAGCCAGCGAAGAAGACGGAGAAGAGAGCCCAATTTTTAACTTATTATCCAAGGGAATATATATATGTACTAATATATACATATTATAAAAATGTGTTTCGAGTAAAAAAAAAATGGTTTTAGTTTGAATATGGTTCATTGAATATTGAAAATATCTATGTAGATCATTTTAGTTTAACTTAAATGCAAGACAATATAACTTTTTTTTTTGTTTTTGGCTAGAAAAATGATAAAATAGCGAAATAAAAATCGTATTTATTATGGCATTTAGAATATCGACATGAACTAAAATGTGTGATTACGGATTGTATTATGTTTTGTAATTTCATAGTATCATCCGCCCAATTCGTAGGAAAACTATGGACTAAACTCTTTTCTAAAAATCGGTTATAAAAAGAATAAAAGTAGGAAAAAAGAAAAAGTTGGTTTGTTGATTTTGACTAGTGATGATGTCTCGTGACCGCTCTCTCTTGCTAGCTCTTTCTGGTCCCTCTTATAAAATATACTTTCTTAAGAGAAAAAATCGTGTGTAAGGAATTATGTCCTTCTGCTAAAATAATGTATTTATTAATAAATAAAAAACTATTATGTGTATCATATAATGCATAGTGTGAGTGGAACTATGAGTTGTATGCTGTTTCTAGGCCTCCCATTTTGTGATTGGATACTATTTGTTGGCCATATGGTCCATCAAATCGCCTAGTACATTTTTAAAATCCCAATACCATACCTATATGTATATACACCACATGTCTTGCGTACATGTGATTAGTGGCTTTGACACCTAAATTTAGCTTGACTTTAAACTTTACGATATATTATAGTATACTTATACCGATCTAGATTTTACGAGACTGATGAGATTAGTTATATAATATGGCTGGAAATCCAAAATTAAAAGAATGATTATACGTTTTTTTTTCTGTTCTTTCGATTACACGAGTTCTAAGATCAAGATTTATGTTAAGTTATTTTAGATTGCTGTGAATATCATGATGATCAACATTTTATTAAGTTATTATAAAAATTTCAGTTCAGTTCTTTTTTTTGTTCGATTTCGTTTCTCATACTCATACTACTATGACATCATAATTTAATATTTTAAGGATTATGACATTTCATGATAATGTTACCAAACAAAACCAATATCTACTTACATTTATGTTTATTTTAGCACTATATTTGGCTTTTCAGATATGTAACAAAAGGTCAATACATCATACACATATCTAAAGTTAAATATGATTTTAGTTAAAAGTGATAACGATCAACATCTTATTTCTTCAAAACATCCTGTCTCTCCATACAGGAAAAAAACGAAAATCTTGTTTTAATGAATGATGAAACCATCAATTTTCATCAGGCGATTATCTTTCTTAAAATTTACATAACGAATAAACTAGTAAGAAATTCAAAGGAAAATTCATTAACAAATGATGGATTGCATCTACATTATCTATTTTGGAATTTTCAATGAGGAGAATTTTGAAAAAGAGGACGAGGGAGAGAAGAATTAGGAATGAGAAGACCGACAGGAAGCGACAAAAAGGAAGTGGAGCTGGGTCCCACAATTCGTGGCGTGATTGAGATTTCGTTTATTTTCCTCGCTTTTCTTACAAATCTAAAAGACTGTTCCAGTTTTTATTTTATCTCTTGATGTTGACATCTGTCTTCTCTTACCCAACACCCTCTCCCACCCAATCTTTATCACTCCATCTATCGTGTCGTTTCACTGTTCCAGCTCCCTCTTGCCTGCCGTTTTACTTTAACGACTCGCCACTTGACACATGTCCTCCAAGTTGCTATGTCGGTCCGTCGATTTTTCTCTTAAATCATCGAGCTTAAAAAACAGGCCCAATATTAAATAATGGCCCATTAAATATCAATTAAAAGGCCCGATACAACAATAAGCAAGAACCGACGCCGTTTTATGTTTCCGGCAAGCAATGTGTGATAACTGATAATATCATCGCTGACATGGAAAGGCCGAGAATCAGTGACGACGACGACGATGGGAACAACTGTAGCGCCATGGAAGCAGCTTCTCTTTGGTTCGATCGAAGCTAATTCTCACTTAAGCCACTCTTCTTACGTTCAGCTCGTACGTGTTTTCATTTTCACGTTCACAAGGAGCGATGATGCTGTTCATTTGCTGATGTTGTGTGTTTTCAGGCGACGATTGGTTTGAATGGACGGCCTTCCAATCGCACCGTCGTATTCAGGTGATAACGAAAGCGTGATTGTAAGAAATTTTCGTTTTTTTTTTATTGGTTGGAGTAGTGACAATTTTTGTCGGTGGTGTATTTTGGTAGGGGATTTGAAGAGAACAGCGATACGATTCGAATCAACACCGATCTTCGTAGTCGAAAGGTCTTAACAATTTTACAGATTACGTTGAAAGCTTCTTCCGGATTCTGGCTTTCTCTTTGACGCTTTGTAAATTTCTGCATTTTGTTGCAGATTGAAGAGCTTAAGCATTGTCCATTTTCCGAGGTAAGCAATATTTTTACAATGTCGATTTGAATTACATTTCCGAATTACACTCTGATATCTACTTATGGTGGGTTTTTTTCAAGCTATGTTGGTATTTCTCTGACTCTTGGGAGCAATTCAGAATCAATGGAAGAGTTGAGGTCATTGATGCCTCGAGTCCGGACAAGACTAAGCTTCAGGTTCGGAAGTGAATACATAAAGTAATTATATCTTGGAAAGGAAGAGAGACTTTTCGTCTTGATTGTTTTGATTTTGATCGCTTGTTGTAGCAAAGAGAGAAAGCTTGGTTTGCTAATTCTCTAAAGTCAAGGCTGATGTACACTTGTCCTACTCCTGGTAGTCCTTACAACAGCGAGCAACCGAACCAAGAAGTAAAATTAGATCCCTCAAGTGGTCCAGTTCCTGCGTACTGCCTCCTGCTTCTAGAGCCAGAAAAGGTTTTCATATGTTCTTGTAAAGAAATTTCTTTCTTCTGTTTTGACAGATTGTTTCATTTATGATTTCCTTTGATGGCAGGTTGATTACTTGAACCTGAAAAGTAACCAGAGGCTTTTGTTTTCGTCGATGGTTAGTGGAACAGGAGACAAGTGCTGGACTTCAGAAAAGGTTAATCCATAGTTAAGTTTAAGGCTAAATAATCTCTTATTTGTGTCCCATTATGTAATATTTTCATTCATGGATTTCGAACAGTGTACTGTGTATCGTTGTTGGGTTGGATCATATTGAAAAATCTGAATAAAATGTCTTGTTTCTGCATGAATCTTCTCTTATATACCATAGTCTCTATCCCGTTGAAAGACATATAATTTGCTCTAGATTAATGGAATAAACCAAAAAGAATCTTCCTCTGGACTTCTGGAGAATAGTTCTCTGCTACCATTTTTTGATTTCAATGAAGCTAGCAGTTTGGTAGATCTGCAGGAGGATGAGGTAGAGACTCTAACACCGTCTTGCCATCTTTCACTATAAACATAGTGCTCATTCCCCATGTTTGATGGATGTCGAAATGGCAATGCAATAACCAGAGCCCTGTTAGTTAAAAACAAGTAGAAGAAGAATTTTATCAGCAAAAATGTCTATGGGATGGTGTGCTAAAAGAGTGTTGTCAAAAAGAATACCTGGATTGTTGGCAACAAACCGAATTGCAGCCCATCCTCCCACAGGGACTCCAATAGTGTTCAAGTAAGGAGGATCCTCCAGGTTAAACTGTGCTGTTCCTTCATCGTAATTCCCTGTGCCATAGCCAATCACGTAGAAGCTATGCCCGTGAAGATGAATCGGATGGTTTTCAGTTGTGAGTGTCCCAGTATTCTGGAAGATGATTTGTATCCTGCTCCCATACTCGAACACCATTGCTCTGGTGCCGTTTGCAGCCTGAGTGTCATTGGCTATGTCATTGGGTGCTCCATTGACAAAGTCGTAGGATTTTTCTGGCGCGGTTGGGAAATCTAAAGTGAAGTATCCTTCCAGCTGCTTGTAATAAGCTTCCAAAATCGAGACTTTAGGCTCGATGAAGCTGATGTTGTTCATTGAAGCTGCTAATCTTCCTTCTCTGGGACCTTGGCATTTGTTGTTTGGATTTTCAGAGTTACACTTGTTTACATTTATACCAATTGTGATAAAGAGATGAGCATCGATAGCTTTTGGGACATCAACTGCATTTAGACTTCTGAGCCCATCCATGATAGTCTTAACAGCGATATTATCATTGAAAATAGGTAACTTAGCTGGTGATGTTACACTGTTAGGCAATGCACCGAAGTATCTGAAGTTAGCTATGGCTGATGTGTTTTGAAACTTGACGTTCTTTGCAGACTCGTAAGGACCCATGGCGATGGAGTATCTCCCAATGGCTTGATCAGCTGTGACGAGAACGTTCATGGTCTGTCCGGGGACAAGCATCACACGCTCTGTTGTAAAAGGTTTGGTGTACTCGCCATCTACTTCCACTATGGTCAACCTGTGGTTAGCTATGGTGAAGAAGCTCTCCATGTTAATGCCAGCGTTTATCAGCCTTAGCAAGTATGTCTTCCTTGGCACTATCTTAATCTCATAAGCATCTGAAATATCAAGATAATAAATCAAAGATCAATAATAATCTGTTTGCTTGTCATAGACCATAAACCAATCATAGCATTTTCTATTTACCATTAGAGGAACAATTGTAGTTAGGGCCTGGTTGACCATTGATTGTGAATGCATCTGCTGGAGGAGGAGGTCCTCCACTCTCCAGTACATGTTGTTCGAGCTCTACCACGTTCTTAAGCCAATACTCTCCTAAATTTATCATTGCGGAAAAACAACCTCAGTGAAACCAAAATTAGTGAAAGAGACTAACATTAAGTTAAGAATCAAGATTACCTAAGAGGATTGTGTGCTCATTGAAGGGTTTCTTGAAAGGGTAAGAAGTAGAAGACTTAGGATATACAATAAGCGGACCGTATACAGTAGCCCTAAGCCAAGAAAAGTGTGCGTGCCAAAAGAATGTGCCCTTTTGTTGCGCAACTGTGAAGTTGTATGTGAAACTCTGTCCACTCTGAATTGGACATTGTGTGATATAAGATGGACCATCATACCAACATGATAGTTTTTGCTTAATACCATGCCTGCACATTATAGAACAAATCATTGTTAGTCTAGTTTAAGCTTTATATACATGTTTATATATAAATATGAATCTGTATACCAATGAATTGTGGTATTATAGGGTGTCATATTGATGACTTTAATAACAATTATGTCATCTTCTTGTGCGGTTATCGCAGGGCCAGGGAATTTCCCGTTGATTGTCACAATCTCTTTCGTCTGGCACAGCCTGGTGAGTCTCATTGTTTGTACCTATCAGAAGAGAACTCTGTTTAGTAGGACTAAAAAACAAATGATAAATGAAATATATTGATTATTGTTGATACTTTACCTTGAATTGATAGAATCTCGTTGCAGCGCTAAACCTGCCAAAGTTCATTACTTGTAGAATGAACAAGAATAAGCTAAGGCGGAACAAGGACGAGACAGCTGAAATGGTCATTTTGAATGGAAAAGAGACAGGGAGATATGAGAGTGAGTGAAAGGTATCGATTGGTTTTTTATAGTGTTCGTAAGGAGAAAGATGGGAATTATAATATATAGTTTCGAAAGAAAGTTTCATGATTTTTGTAGAGTTGGGACTTGGGAACATAGACAGTTAGACAGTAGTGATTATAAGGTGTTGGGGAAGCGTGAGTTGTTTCTTGACCCCAGCGTGAGACTGAAGGCAAACACACGGTTACTCTTAAAAGGGCTTAATAAAAGGAGAGATGTTACTCTTAATTAGTGTCTTCTCTTTGATTTTGGATTAGTAAAAGCTTTATACATTATATGTTGCAGGATTCTCTACCAAACTTGTGTATGAAGCTTGATCATTTTAGTGTAATCTTGAAATGATTATACATAAGATTATTACATATGATTAAACATACGATTAGTTGGGGATAAGTGAGGTGCATGATTTAGCATAATTAAAGAGTGTTAAGTAGGGTCGTATTGGTTTGGTTATGGACATTACACGATCATGTTGTTATAAGGCTTTCGAGTTTTTTTTGGTGTAGAGTGTTAGAAAAGAAAGAGTATGAAGGAGATCAAGTTTCTTGGTCGGTATTTTGGATGGACTTGATTCTTTATTGGTCCTGTCATCATCAAATTTTGTGCACGCCTTTAACTTGCCAAAAAAAAAACACTCATTTTACTAAAATTTTGTAAATTTTTTGTTTAAAATGAAACATGATGATTGATTTGAATTTTGACCAACTCATTTTCCCTATATACTATATTCGAAAGGTCAAAACATTAATACGTTTCCTTTTAACGTTTTGACTGATTCACATTGTTGAGTTTTAGCATATTCTGCCAAAATCATACCGTATTACATTTTCTGATAAAACACACACACATATTTACAATGAATGGCCCAAATAAGTTATGGGCCTAAATGAGACATAGGCCTTTTACGGATCCGATGAACTTGGTTTGTGAGGGAAATAGCGCAAACGGAAAAATTAACCGTGAAAATGCCGGAGACGAGTCACGACGCGATTTCGGTCACCGATCCGATCGATCAGTTACCTCTCCGGCTACTAAGATCGGAGATCGTCCCACCGGCACCGACTCGATCTCAATCTTCTATTGACTGGCTTCCTGACTTCGCCGGTTACTCATGGCTTGCTTACGGAGCATCCACTCTCCTTGTCATCTCTCATCTACCTTCCCCTCTCCGCGGCGAAGACACCACGAACGGACCATTTTTCCGTCAGATTATCGAGGTCTCCGGAGAAGCTTCGTCTCCAGTTACTGCCGTCTCTTGGTCTCCCGTAACTCCGTCTGTAGGCGAGCTCGCGGTTGGCTCTGGGAACTATATTTGCCTCTTCGCGCGTGATCTTAGCGATCTTAATGGTAAGACTAGTTATTCAGCTTGATTCTGTTCATTCATTCTCTGGGGTTTTAGAATTTTTAAAGTATTCCACATTTTGAACATTTCGTGTTTAGTTTGCAATGCAACAATGCAAATGAGTAGTTAATAGCCAGTGCAGCCTTTGTTGGAGATTATATATCGTCTAAGGTCTGGATTGTGATGCCATTGAATTACGAGAGAATGAATCAAGGAATAATCCACTAGAGAATTGTAGAATGTGTGTCTTCCTTCTCCCAGTATAGTTGGATTTAAATTTGTATGTCTTTACAATTCAGGTTCTTTTTGTTGGAGTCAGAATGCCATATTGGTGCAAGGAACAAAAGTTGAAGCAATTGAATGGACAGGATCTGGGGATGGGATAATAGTTGGTGGAATTGATATTGTTCTGTGGAAGAGAAGGAACCAATCCTGGGAAATAGCTTGGAAGTGCTCAGGGGATCACCTTCAAGTTCAAGATCTGGTTTCCCCCACTTGGTCATTGGAGGGTCCTTTTGCGTCAGCAACGTCTTGGAGCAAGTTTCCAGCTGAGTGTGATGAGGCAGGTAAACGTGTCTGGGCCTATTATAGAGATGGGGAGTCTTATCGTAAAGTTGAATTGCCTCATGCTGAGAGAATCTCCATGATTCAGTGGAGACCAGTGGCTGCAGAACAGTCTGCAATAGGTTTAGGGAAATCAGTGAGGAATGTGCTAATGACATGTTGCTTGGATGGAGCAGTAAGGTTATGGAGTGAGGTAGATGGTAGAAAGACAAAAAAGGGCATGGAGGATGCGAATGATCATAGAAAATCGTTTTGCGTGGCAGCTGTGATAGAGATAAGTCAGGTCTTGGATGGCTATTTGGGTAGAGATTTGTTTATTTTTTGGGGAACTCGCACAGGGGGTATATTGAAAACCATCGAAGGTAGTAATCAATTCTTTTCTACTGAAAAGTATGAGCACGAAAATGTTGGCCAATGTGAGTGGTTGGTAGGGTACGGCCCTGGAAAATCGGCTTCTTTGTGGACTGTCCATGGTCTTGATGACATCGCTCCTATGAGGTTTCCGAGGATCACTATATGGGCGAGACAAGAATCAAATGAAGCTGGTGTGGTGCTACCCTCTCTAGCCGATGCTACTTGTTCATCTGATCAGTTACTTCTCAAGAAAGTTTCTGTTTTGAGAAATAACCGTTATGGCCCGCCACTTATCTGCTCGTCGATATATTTATCTCCGTGCAATAGCGTATACTGGTCTTCCTTGCACACAGTAAAATCACATGACTCAGAAGATTCGTCTGCTAATAGGTCAAGTGTATTGAAGTGCAAGACGGGAAAAATATTAGATCTTGATGGTCATGGTGGGAAAATCCTTCAGGTTGCCTTTGATCCTGTCATATGTGAGGCGGTATACATTGCTTCTCTGGATTATAATGGTTTGGTTGTAATCTGGTCCTTGGGTGACTATTTGAACCGTGCTATTGACCATCCTATATCAGTTTCCTCTTGGAAACCTTGTGGACGGCTTCAAAATCAAGAATTAGGATTGAAGTACACGAGTATATGCTGGGCACCTTCATCATTGAATGATGAAAGATTTCTACTTGTGGGACATGTAAAAGGCGTTGATTGCTTTAGTGTGAGGAATTGTGGGAGGGGTTATGGAAGTTTTGTAACCCATTACATATGTACCATACCGTTTGCAGTTAGCCACCCTGTGGAGAGTGGTCCAACCAGCATATTTGCAACACCTCTGACTAATTCCTGTGGAAAGACATTCAAAAATAACAGATTTTTGCTTTTGAGTGTATGGATGAAAGAGAAACGGTTTGATGCTCTGTCATGGAGAGTGAGCTTGCATCATTTCAATGCAGCAGGAAGCACCTGTGACTGTCATTTTCACGATTTTGATAGTACTGGATCGGGCAAGTGGTTGTTCGAAGATACTTTTGCTGGTAAGACGAACTGCATTGCTGTTAGATCATGCTCTTCAGAAATACCTGATTCCCACCGTTACGATGAAGTTACGAGTTTTGCTGTGGTCAATCCAAGCAGCAGGGCTCTAGAGAATGAGATGGAGATTGAAAGTCAAGCTTACACTATGGCAACTGGTCAAGCTGATGGCTCTTTAAAACTTTGGAGAAGTAGTCTTCAGGAAAGTTCAACACCTTCTGTTCTGTGGGAGCTTGTTGGCATGCTCACCATTGGCCAAAATCCTGTCAGTGCTATATCTCTGACTGATTCGGGACGCAAGATAGCAGCCCTCTGTACAGAGAATCATTCAGAAGCTGTCCACATAGTCAGTATATGGGAGGTTGTACACCTTATAGATTCAGGGGTTTTTATACTAGAAGACAAGTTACATGTTGATGCAGAGGTTGTTGCTGTAAGATGGTCAGCTGTGGGCAATGATCAGCTATTGCTTGGAGTTTGCACACAGAAGGAGATGAGAGTGTATGGTATTGCTCGGCAACCCTGCAGAAGTACCAGTTTTGCAGTCTCTGAATATTCTTCAGAATCACGGATGTGGCAATGCTTCGCTGTTACTCGTACATCTTCCACTATACATGGTTTATGGTGGGGACCCAAAGCCATGAATGCCCTTGTTCATAATGATTATATTAGTCTACATGGTCAATGGCTGGCTGTTATTGATAAGAAGCAAAAGATCGATAGCTATACAGAAATATTTGTAGCAAATCTTCCTCACGTAGTGAATGCTACAGAAGAAGGCAGAGACTCTGAATTGTTATCTGTCTCTGGTATTAATGATCTCAAAGAAGCCGATACTCTGCCTCCAACAAGTAGTGCAATTGATGACTGGCAATCCAGTAGTATGCCTTTAACTGGGACTGCATATGGTTCAGATGTTATTAATGACATTACGAGCATGTTACATATAGTGGAGAAGTTAGGAGGTGCTTTGCCACTTCATCACCCTCAAGCCCTCCTTGTAGCTATACGTTCAGGTGATATGCTGCAAGTGTTTTTTTTTGTTTTCCCCTCTTCAATTAGTTCTGACACTAAGTTGTTTAACTTTTATTTAGCCTTCCCTTCTTATTTTTCCTTCGTGCAGGAGCATTCATGCCGTTAGTTTCACCTTAGCTAAAGATTGTTAACTCTGATGTATTCAGGTAACTGGAGACGAGCAAGTGCAGCTTTAAGGCATCTTGCTGAATGGTTTACTTCAAGTGATGCCTCCAGGAAGGATTACGCTGTAAAGTCAGATCTTTGTCCGGATATCCCTTTGTCAAAATATTATGAAGGGTCTCTCTCCAGTGGCCCAAATCTGAAAGATTTCCAATGGGGTGGGACGTCTGGTTCAATGCTACAGAATTCACAGTTTCAGGCAGGGTTGCAGTCAAATGTCAGTATGGATTCTTATAGTTCCAATAGTAGTCAAAGTTCACCTGCAACAGACTTGGAATTTAGTGGCTTCTGCGAGCAGCTGAATAAGTTATCAGATGGCGCTATTTGCCGGATAGAAAAGATGCAATACTTTGCAATTGCTGACCTTCTTTGTGAAATTAGTAACCCACAGTCTACATCTGTCTATGCAAATCTTGATGAAGCTGGGAGAAGGTACGATAATCCTTGTAAATTTC